CTGCAGCTGCCCCCTGGACTCCAGAGCCCTGCTGTCTGCACAGAGCAGTGTCAAGTGAGAGCTGAGAGGCTTCTGCTCCCTGAAGGGTGAGCCTGCCCAGACTCTGCACCCTAGCACCCTGACCCTGCATTTGCTCCCCCGGGGCGGGGCTTAGAAGCCCAGGCTGCAGAGCACTAGTCAGTACTTTACAAGCTTGCTCACACTCACTGTCTTATTAGAACAAGGTGTAATCTCCCTGAGAGACACAAGCCCACTTGGCAGATGGGGAAACTGAGGCAGAGAGAAGAGCACACCAGCAGCAGCAGAGCAGGCCCTTTTAACGTGAACATTGCACTTCCCTAAAACCCTCTAAAATGTTCTTCTCATTTCCTGGAAGGCCCCGCCCTCCCTGCCCCTTCCGCCAGGAAAGCCTACACTCAGGTAAAGGCCCAGGTGAGGTCTCTATAGAAGGTCCTCCTCACCCTCCTTCCAGATGAGGGTCTTCTCCTTTCTAAATGCTCCTAGACTGTCTGTACGGCATTTAAAGCACTTATTCCTGGTCACTGAGAGTGCCCCCCTGGAACTCCCAGGTCAGCTGGATTCATCTTCAACTCTCCACCACCCAGACAGGGGCCCGGAACACAGGAGGTACCCACAGAAGTCTGCTGAATGGATGAGTTCGTCAAGGCCCTGGATGCTTCTGTAACAGGCACAGCTGCTATCAGTGAAAGGGACACCCAGCTGTGGTCCTCCGAGACAATCCCCGCCTTTCACAGGGACTGCTTCCCAGCACAGCCCGGAGCCCTGGATCCAGGGAGGGTCAGCAGGGGGGGCTGGGGTAGGGCTGGGCTCGGAAGGGGTTCTTAGATTCCTCCTGGGCAGCAAGCAAGGAGAGAGGACCAGAGCCTGCTCTGGCCAGCTCTTTCTCCAGGGTGAACATCGCATGCTGGGAGAGGCCATACGTTCTGTCTTCCACAGCAAGGTGACCCCCAGCAAGCAGCTCAGGGTTAGCAGAGCCAGCCCAAAACCACCTCTAAAGTACTTTAGAAAACTCACCTGCCAGTCTCATAGGTAACACCTGACTGCCCTTTGTCAGAACCAAACAGAACCCCAGCTGGTGGGAACCCTTCCAGCACCAGGATTGCTTACCAGACACCAAGAGCTAGTGCCCAGAACTGCCTGCTCCCCGCAGAGCACAGTGTGGAGACCTGCACTCACTTGTCTCACCAGGCTGGGTGCACCCGCCTGGAAACTGTGCTCCCCACCCCAGGGCCCAGCCTGTCCCCCATGCTTCTCCACCAAGCCACTGTGGACTGCCAGGGACCTTCACAGAGAATCACCTGCAGGCCAAGAACAATGGCTTACACTCCATGCTCAGAAACTGCTGCTGACGCCTTTTCCTGGAATTAGTAACTAGAGCCCTTTTTTGTCTCATTCAGCAGGTCCCAAAGCCCTCAGAGATGTTGCCTCCCAACTAAACGCATGGGCCTCCACCCTGGACAGTGGAGTCCTGGTCACTTCCCGTCCACATGGAATGGCTTGAGCACCTGGCTGAGCTCGGATGCTGGCCCAGCCACAGGAAGCCTCCGGCTGCTCCACTGTGCCTCCCTCACCGCTGAGGGAGGGGCCGCAGCCCCAGCGGTGCCTCTTCTTTACTGGTGGGGGGACCTGAGGTCTAGAAGTGCTGTGCCCTCAGCTAGGGAAGGACTGAGTGCAGCATCCCCTCAAGTGCTGATGGCAGTGAAGTCACCTGTCCCCTCCCTCGAGGCCTGCTCCAGCAGGGGCAACGGCTCCCAGGCCCCATCGCAGGCGTAGTGAGGGAACCTACCCACACTGGTTATCTTCTGCGTGCTGAGGTCCCGCAGCAGGGCATCGACCGCTGGGTTGTCCCTTGAGTACAGCTCATACCGGTTAATGCCGATGTGGAATTTGAGCCAGTTGGGGTAGCTGTCCACTGCTGCCTCCCCCGTGGGTGAGAATTCTTTGTCTTCAGGACCTTCGTGTGGCCTACAGAAATGACAGTGACCGGAATCAGCAGGGAAAGGACAGGGACAAGGGGGGGTCAGGCTCAGCTGCCAAGGCTTTAACTTTGGACCCAAACAAATGTACTTTATTCAAAGGTGCCTCTGCACAGTCAGGACCCTGCCGTGTCCGCATTTTTCCTGTGGCTGTTGTTCTACCAGCTAATGATATATCTAAAGGCCTGTAATTCTTACCTAGCCTCGGAGCCGCCACAGACAGCTATAACTAAAGCAGGAGCAAACCCAGGACGTAGGCGCTGGGTCCCACCGCGTCCGTCCCAGGGTCACCCAAATAGCCTGACAAGCGTGATGTCAGCTTGGGGTAGGAGGGGCCTTAGCTCTTCCCTGGGGCAGGAGACCGAACTCATCTTTGACCACAGACCGTGTGCAAGTCTCAGACACGCCCAGTCTGTCAGAAACTTTCCCTGGGAACTCTGCTCTGGTTCCAACAACCTGGGGTAGGAATGATGCAACAGACTAAATTTAATTTTAACAAGAGCAGTCTTGGGTGGGGAGAAAGGAAGGAGGCAGGACCTGCCACCCACGAGGCCGTCCTTACACGCGTCTGGATCAAGGCCAGTCTTGGGGGAGCAGACCCTGCTTCCTGCTGGGCTGGAGGGAGAGGTGGGCTAGTCTCAGCTCTAATTCACCTGCACATGAGGCCCTTTGAGCCCCAAGTCCCCTCCCACAGTGGACACGATGGGGGGCTACCTCATTGACCGTTGGCCCTGGGCTCTGTCTCCTCCGAAGGACCACAGGCCAGGCCACTGCTCTGATTCCCAAGTTTCTGAGCATTTCCTTGAACCTGGCTGGCAGACAAAGCCCAGAGGCCCCCAAATACACACCTTGGAGTGTTTAGATACAAAACACTGGGCCTGGTCAAATTTCAGGGAAAAAGGATCTTTCTAAGAGATTTTGGACACCTGCCTGCTCCCCTCCATGGCCTGGGCGACCTGCAGATAGTTATTTACCCGCTGCTGGTTAATATTTCACTACTCTGGGTTCCAGCATCTGCTCATCTTGATCTTTGCTGAGGAGGGCCTGGGGGAGGGTTTAAATCAGGACAGTTTGCAGAGGAGCTTCTGGCGGAGGCTCCTCGCCTTTATGAAGCTGTCACCAGTCTCACTGGCTGGGAGAGCACCTTCCTTATGCCTTTTGGAGCCTTCACACCCCTCTGCTAGCTGTTCTCAGTGACTGGCTTACACAGACCGTGCCAAGTACTGACAGCCTGGCAGCCGCAGCTTCCC